TCTAGATGGCTCGACACGCCGATAGGAAGTAGCAAGACAACAAAATGCCCATTCATCGCCGAACTGCTCCTCCCTCTCCGGCACAGCTCATCCTTTGCGACTAAGGCTGTTTTTATACACAGTACCGCTCATACATCACCACTGAAGAACGAAGTACTGAATCCACTATAAAGAGTTTAAGAGAGCACCAATCTTTGCTATTCAGAAAAACCCCGGATCAGAGGGATAGACCTGTCCCCGAGTCTTGAGCTGAGCAAAAACAGGTATGTGTTAGCATCCGAAGAGTCATATACGACATTCTCATTCAGATCCTCCCCACTGAGGTCGATGGGAGCAGTTCGACTCAGAGGGAGTAGCCATGGTACGCAGCGAAGCCTGCATAGGCTACTTTGTGGAAACCTGGAAAATCTTATAACTAAGGTGGCTCACTTGCCCATTTAGCAGCTTCACACGAATTCATATGTCTCACCAAAATAAAACCTGTCACACATGAAACACCTATAGAAACTAGCGAGAGTGAAACGCCCCCCCCCCAAGCCCAACAGCGTCGAAGCAGGTCATGAGTCGCTTGTGGGAAGCGTCCACCGTGGCTTGCGAAAAGTTGCCAAGCCTATTACAGTCCTTCTCGACAGAAGCTTCCAGATCTTCCATATTTCTATGATGTTTTGTAGGCCTTCGACCTGAGCCTCATGCGAGAGATATAACGGTGGGAACCAGAAACTTCCTTCAGGGTGATGCCAATTTTGCAGCCTTTGAGCTAGACTCTGGTTCCTCCTGGGACCTCTTTTTCTCTCCTTCCTTTTCTTGGGACTTCACTTTGTCGTGAAAAGGCTGAGGTGGAGTGCTCGCCTTTACTTATGGAGAAACATCTTGAGAATATTTCAAAACAGATCGCACGAGACTGCCTTGATCGGTGGGGAGAAACGGAAATTCAAGGGCTTCTGTCAACCAAACATTGTCTCCCTGGGAGGGTCCAGAGGTTTTTGACCATTGCATCTATTGGTCGAGCATTTGAAGGGAAAATTGAGAGGAAGAGGGTGAGAGCAGGGATGGATCAGAAGAAGGAAGGAGGAAGAAAAAGAGGAAGGAGAAGGTTCGCGGTTGACAGGTTTCCTTAGACTGAAACGGAAAAACAGAGAACTAGAGAAGTCGAGAATCCGTCAAAAGAAATAGATTAGCTGGTCAAGCGCAATGGGCATTATGGGAAGACCGGAGAACAGTAGTAATGACGATATGGAAAATCACCGAATCGGAAGATCATCGAAAAGGGATAGATGTGAACTGGTTCCATAGACCCCGCGATCCTTACACGGATTCTCAGGGTCTCTGCCTCTCCAGTTCAATGCAGGCCATTTTTTTCATTTGTTCACAATGCATCCATAAGACGCGCTATAGTTATCATAAAAAAATTAACTTCGGAATATTTGTATAAGAAAGGAAAATGAAAGGTGGAGATAAGAAAGTAGTGTCATTGATGGACAAGATAAATAAGGAGAAAGGGACGTTTTCTGAAAACAATACAGATGGTTCGCCAGTCAAGCAAATCCGAAACCACATTTATGTTGCTTAGTAACACGAACATGCGAAATAGATGGGCAAGACTTTGGCACAGAAAACTGAAAAGGGCAAAAGGTGCTCGAAAAAACCTTGGAGTTTTCGCGAGTACTTCAAGTTCTAGCAGCACTGCGAAAACGCCGCTTACGCTGGCGTACGATGGATTGGCGAACGCTCGATCGTCTATACTTCCTATCGCTGGAGCTAGCATACGCTGACGGAAAGTATGAACGCAGCCTAGGTCTCTCTTCAGCCACCGTCAATTGGCCGCTTCTTGGCAGCAATCGACAAGGGTAAGGTCCCTGTAAGGCAACGTTCAGACTTCGCGACGGCAGCGCTTCGGTCGCGGATTCGACGATCGATGCGCATGCTTTCGACTGCATCGATCGCGTCGAACGCGCGACCGAAGCGCTGCCGTCGCGAAGTCTGAAGCGCTGCCCAAGATCGATATCGACTTCAGATTCGTGCAATCAGTCGCGACGCGAGCGCGCTTCGTTAAATCGTGGGTTACATCATACGTAGCGGTGGGTACGTTTCATGTACATCACGCTTGTGGGATTAAAGCGAAACCTTGTTGGTCTGGTGATGCAGCATGTCGAGTCAACTAGCTAGGAAATGCCTTGCAGATTTCCCGCATCACCGCACATGGACTTAAAGTCACAGTCTCACATCCCTCAATGATAGGCGATCGACCGCACGGTAGAAGGTCAAGACCATCGTACTTCGTCACATCGTCGCGCGCGGCGATGGGTGCAACGCCCACTTAATTTGCGTTGTCGGTTTGAGCACCGGACTATATGTAGACTACGTAGACTACATGTAGACATGGTCGTTTTGGTTCTGCATTGTCTGTTGTCGCCATTTATCACTTAGAAACACCGTCATTTACGGGCGCCACACCCACCAGCGCAGGAAATTACGGTCCTCTTGTCACATAACCCGGCCGCACCGGTCAGTTCTTAACCGTCGTCAAGTATGCCAGCAGTTCAACCAGCGTTGCACCATTGCGGCACGCTGCTAATAGCGCTTCTTCTGTTTTTCTACTCATTCCACTTTTTTTAGACAAACAATGGCCGGCGTTTCCAGGAGACGGAGCAAGAGAATCGTAAATTGCCCCTCGGTCGCGCGCGGCAACGGGCGCGACGTTTCCTTGATTTACACTGCCCTTTCGATTGAGCATCGGATTTCGTGTATACCAGGACATGGTAGTACATGGTAGACAATTATGACTATTGCTGGTCATACATTGTCTGCTCTCGACCAATACCACCTAAAATCGTCGTCATTAGCGGGCGCGACGTCGCACGCGACGCCCACAGGCGCGGCGAATTACGGCTCTCTTGCTACATAACCGGCGTTTCCAATGAGGGGGAAGAGTGGCGGGCTATCTATAATGCCTGAAGAATTGTCATATGTGAGACTACAAAGGATGTAGAATAGAGAAGCAAACTAATGCGTTTTTTTAAGGAAGAAATTCCTATAGTCCACAGACCATCTGGACGAGTTCTCACGTAGGACGAGTTTAACTCCGAAACGAAACGATGGTACTCAAACCGCTGATGATAATGAGACATAAAAACATTGGGCATAAGTCAGAGTTCTACCATTCTAAAAGTTGCACACAGACTTGAAATTCATCCATCCATTAAAAAAAGAAACTTGGCGGCCCAGGACAGTTCGCGACTATATGTTGTGACTGACCATTTTTTAAGAGCAACAAGAACATAAGGACTACAAAGATATGCACGAAACAAAAGAACAGCTGTTTGCGTAGATCACCGGCATTTTTTGCCACAACGGCATCAACGAGGAAATGTCCGTAGATTAGCTGGTCCTGTCACGACAATTAAAGGGCCATTCCACTTTGAACGCAGTTTTTTATTCCGAAAGGAACGTCGTTTTGGGGTTGTTTTGCGGCGTTTTGATTAGTTTTTATTGATATTTCTTTGGTTAATCCGTTGACTTATAGTACATTGCTCCCATCTGGTGTTGTTTTGTTGTGGAAAATGCGGTCTTCGGCGGGTGCGCTCCATTGTGAAAGTTTTGCCGGGTCGCTAAACATCTTGTCTTTTGTCTAACTTGTTACTAGATCTCCGTCATCTCTTTGTTGTTCCTCCTGCTGATTTATTTCTTATTAACTGTCTGCTCTTCTTCTCTTAACTTGTTCCATAGTTCTCCCCATTGTACAATAGTCCCTACTTTAACGTTGTTTCTGCCCTTCGACCCTGTCTGGCGTATTACCCAGGCTCGCTCTCTCCCTGTTCCTTACATTCTAAGCTTCTCACTTAACATCTCTTAGCGCCTGGTTCCCGCGGAATTTTCTTCATTCAGGTTTGTTGTATCTCGATCGGTTCGGATCATTGTAAAGGGCAGGGTATGCCTGCTATTTTAGTAAGAATTCTCAAAAGTCATTGAAAACTAGCTTGCATAACGCACGATAATTTGGCTCGGTTCGCAATGATGGCATTGTTGCTATATAGTGGGAAAATGACGAAAAAGCAAAGTGACACGGTCAAAAACCTGCAAAAAAGCTTCTGTTCTACACAAGACTGACTCAAGAAGCAATTTCGGACGAGTTTCCACCAGTCCCTTCGCTTAATATTGTACTTCGCAAATAGCGATATGAGCTCCAGCATCGGTCGGATATTTGCGGGCGGGCGCCGCGCGGTGGGCGTTCGGGTTGGTATGCTACAGTGTGATAGGGCGCTAAAGGGCACATTCCTTGGAAAGCGAGTCCTATCCTGTAATTAATCCTCTACGTGTAGGGGATTTATCGTGCCACTTGCCTTTAAACACGATTCGTTACGCTTAGTTACATCCGCACTTATTTGGACCAGTTTGCTTTATGTGTGAAACCTTTTCGAATTGTCTCGGGCTCCTTACAACTACTTCCGTTTCTGCTTTCTGGGTACCTTCCATAGTGACTCTACGGCTGGAGAGGGTGGAATAAAAAGGGAACTTCGCCCTTGAGAAGTACCCTTCTTTTCGCGCAGAGTGACGCATAGGTGGGTTTATAGCTGCCCCAAAGCTAATGTCAATTCTTTAGGTTGATTTAGACTATGGTTTATGACATCACATCGTCGTGACCGTTGGAACTGAGGTAGAGTGCTGCTAACATTATATGATGGTCCCAATGGCTCCTCTCCGTAAAACTTGGAGTTGTTTGCCAGTCTTGAATGGTGTGAGAATAGCTCAGCTTGGCTCCTCCACCTGTCACACTTGTCAGGGATGCGAGAACTGCCTGAGGAAACCTACCGGTATTGCCAGAAAACATTTCCAATAAGAAGTTTATGCGGAAAGCCCATCCTCGTTATGTTCGTCCTGGGTTACCGCAGAGCTTATCTTAGAGATTCGAGGGTGGTTTTGCACCGTTTCTGCTCAAACTTGATGTCGTCAAAAGAAATCGTTAATTTGACGGTATCCCAGTGCCGTGGCTCGTGCCTGCAATGAAATCAAACTTGCCTTTTCGGTACTTCAGGGCTACCACGATGACTGAGACTGAGAACATTGCTTCTGCCAATGGGACAGATAATGTCGACGAGAAAGTTGTGAGGCAGCTCGAGGTGATTGTTGTTAAAGTTTTATAGTAATTTTGTCAGTATGAATGTAATTTCTATATGTTTCAGTATTACTTCGGTAACATCAATCTTCCAAAAGATAAATTTCTCCAGGATACGATGAAGAATGATGAAGGATGTGAGTGTAGCACTTGCTTTGCTGCATACATTGACGGAGTTTGGCGACGGGGTGGTGGGGGGGGGGGGAAAGAAGAAGGACTTACAGGTCTCACTCTGGTGATATCTGTAAACCTCGTAGCTAGCACCTCTAGTCAAAATCTGTCTACTCCTGTGAGCTCATGAAGTAGCTCTGTAGATGGGTAGCCAGGTCAATGGAATGTAGCAAAAGTACCAAATGCCCCCCCCTCAGCCGTCGCCGAACGCATGTGCGCTTTCACATTGTTTAGCATTTTCATTTTGGAATCTCATTTTAGGGGTTCCTATCAAAACCCTTCTCACCTTTAATCGTTTGGCAGCCATAACTACTGACGTGGATGTCATATCAAAAGCCGTCAAGGTAGATCAGTTCTAAGAAACATGTGTTAATTTGCTTGTTTTATTTCTCTTTGCGTACTGATTCGATTCAGGAGTCTAATTCGGAAGTAATCAGCGTGTCAGACGACGGCCTTAAAATACGACGCAACATTGGAAATCCTCTTCCTGAAAATTCTTTGGAATACTGGCAGAAGATTAAGCATTGCACAGTTTATATGGTGAGTATTCTTTCTTTGTTGATTTTGCATAGTTTTCTTACGAGGGCAAAGCGTGGCATTCCACAGCTCATCTTTTTCAAGAGCGATTTTGGTGGCTAGAGTAACGAATAATCTATTGGTGGATAGTACTTCCTGCTTTGAAAATAATGGGCAGCTCTGTCCAGCCTTCACCGCCCATTCTTCGGATTCGAGCGCTGCTCGAATTTTCCTCTGGATAGATCTGATAGAAATTGTCCTTGTCGTACTTTGACCTCAGGACACGGATATCACATTTGCTTGGGGTAAAAACGCCTGACTCGTGTGCTACCGAGCCAGCATTTGTGCTGCAGGCGCCCTAAATGGATGTAGCGGTCGTGTTCAGCGTCAACCTAGCCTCCCGGACAAAGTCTCGGCGAGTTAGGCACGTTGTGTTGGAACCGGCGCCTTGGTGCGAAGTCTCGAACCTAGTGGAATGTTGTGGTCGTGTTGGGGTACCAAACTACCTTCAAAGGCAAGAGTTCTCCCCCGTTGGGCGAACTGTGAGCAAAATTGGGCTTGAATTCCGAAGGGTGCGTGCTCAAGGGTAAATGTCATGCCTTATTTTGCAGAAAGGTTTCGAGCAAAACACTACTCTGGACGACATTATGAAATTTGCTGCAAAATATGGCAAAGTTGAAAACGTGTTAATGCGACGCACTAAACCTGACCGCATATTCAAGGTTGGTGGATATCTGTGGTTCTGTTGTTTTTTATAAGTTTATCTGATAGTTTCCATATCAGGGATCGGTTTTCATCACCTACAAAACTCGCGAAGAAGCTGAGAAAGCTCAAAAAGATGACGCCAAATTCGGAGAAATTGAACTAACGAAGATGATGCAGGATGACTATTGGACTATGAAGAATCAAGAGGCCAAGGTTGGTCCATTTCGAATCCCATATTTGGTCCCTAGCTGGCTTTCCTCGTTTCTGTTCTCAGTTTACTTTACGGACTGTAGAAGTCGATAGTGGTAGATGAAAACTTGCTATCATTCAGCTCTGTTTTTTGGGCTGTTATTTTCACCTATGTATTGTCAGGGATATGAAGGCATTCCTGCTCATGTACTTGTAAATAAAGTAAACATGCTTGCAGCAAAAGCGCCAAGCTGAAAAGATGGCTAAGACCGCCAAGAAGTTTGCTGAACATGCGGAAAAATTGCAAGCCAAGGTAAATTACTCACAAGTTGTTCTTGTATTGTTTCGAAAAAAATCCTATTTGAAATATATCGCAATTTTAGGCTAGTGCTCATTTTGTGAAGGGACTGATTCTTTCTGTCGATGGATTCCCAGAAAATTCGTCAATGAAGGATATCAAGGAATTTTTCAAAAAGTTTGGCGATGTTGGCTACGTTGTGTATGAAAGTGGTCAAAGCAAAGCAGAGATCCGGTAAGCGTGATGGAGTTCAGTATTTGTTTTGTTTTCTTTCTTATTCTGGTCTCTGTTTTCATGGGATTTCGTATCTTTCGTCCTTCATTTAAAGACAGCCCCCGCGCTCAAGTAGTACATGGTCGTCCTTCCTTGTGCAGGTAGTTCAGCCCCCAAGCTAGATACTGTCCCACTCTCGCGACTCCTCAGCGAGCGAGGAGCGAGCTACAACCGCTCAAAGTTCTAGTTCTAACGCCTGCTCAGTTGGACCGCCCCACTTGCTAGCTGCCCTCTGACGGAGAGCCGCTCAGTTGTTCTTTGTTGGGACGGCGGGCATTAATCGGAACTGCATGTACTTTTTGCTGACCGCGCTCGTGCCCATGAATAATTCTGCTCTCCTTCATCACATTTTATTCATTGGGAGCACATACAGTCAACTGCAACCCATCTCGTAAGGTAAAACGCGTAAAAATCACGAATGATGCAATTTCTGTGGTGCAAAAGCTCGACATGCACCAAAAGCTGCACACTGCACGTAACCCCAAATTCGGACGCCAGGTTTTTGAATTTTTCCTTTTTCAAGTGTTTTTCGTTCGTGTCTTTGTTGTTTTTCATATTGTTTTCTTTGAAATGGATGTTGTCCACTACTGGGAAATGCCATAAAGCGATTTGTGAGCCAGGGTTGCCCACGGACGCAGGGCGGTGTAACTGTAAGGGAGCAATTTTGTTTGTGGTGTTCTTGAGGGCTCTTGTTGCTTTTTCCTTCATTGAGGAATTACTTATCAGCTACTGTTTCATAATTGATCAGCAATTATCCTTGACACTTTTATCGCGGAGCAGGCTTTAAGCTTCCATTCGATGCTACAAATCATCGCTATTAGACAAGCCTAGGCGGAAATTTTTGGTAAAGGTTTTCAAGAAGGAATTTGCTGCATCGTTAGTATCATAACAAACGTATCTTATCGTGCCGATGCCCTCTGAAAGTTCTTGCCTGCTTTGAGCAAGGGGCTGCATCCGCCTTTGGCTGCCCCCCTCTACTGACAGTGGCCGGTCAGTGATCGTCTGGGAAGAAAACAGCTACTGCGGAAGACGCCACGTATATGCTCATTATATCCCTATTGACACCGTTCCATGTGGCTGTGACGATACCGTACGTTCACATTAAGGAGCGTCAGAACTTGCTGGTCATCCTGATGTTTCATACTAGTTGTTTTTCATGTTTTGTGCTGTTGCGATGGATATTTCAGCACTCTACCTTCTGACCAGATTTGATTTTGCTTTGTTTCAGGACCACAATTTTAGGCACAATCCGGCGACGATGGTGGGAGGGGGTATTTTACCTTTTCGTTGCTTCACTAGTTTCCGTTTTACAAGTTTTACTCTGGTAAAACCTGTGAACTTTTCATTAGATAGCACTGGGTCTAGATTATATTGCAACCAAAAAAGTTCGTGCGGTTTTGAAGGTAGCGAAATAATAACATAAAAAAACGGGTTAAACTTGGATTTATCCCGTAAAATAATTACCCTCAGCAAGTAATACACTTTCCCATTTAGACACAAGAACATATATTCCATTTTTGTAAAAATCTTGCTTCTGGGAATCAAAGAAATGTTTTAGTTCGTTGTCCAAAGCCACTTCATTTTCAAATCGCCGATTCCTCATGTGGTTGTCCAAGGCCAAAAACAGATGATAGTCACTTGGAGCAAGGTCTGGCGAGTACGGAGGGTGAGGTAGAATTTCCCATCCTAGTCGCGCTATTGTTTCCTGAGTGATTCTTGCAGTGCGTGGTCTAGCATTGCCCTGGTTCAAAACCGACTTTCTGTTTTGCCTTAATTGAAAGTAATCTAAATTAACAAATACACTGAATGACACTCCTTGACATATGTCTTAACATGTATTCAAAGTTACCCTACCACTAGATCCAGTTTACTGAATATACTTCATAAAAGTAAACAAAAAAAACCGCACGAACTTTTTTGGTTGCCTAATAAAAAGTTCCGTTCTGCTAGGTCACCTTCAGACCAATGTATGGGGCCAGAAAACAAGATCGTTCTGTTATATCATTATCATTTTTATGCTAAATGTAACTAGAACTTCCCTGTTTTGTCTTACTGCTCAAAGTAGTTCTTTATTGATTAGTATCTAGTTTTGTGACAGGTACTTGCTGTGGTTTTTCTTGCAGATCCTTTCTTTCTTCTATCATTGCCATTTTGCTTTTTTTGAGTTTTCGCATTTCAGATTTGCTGGTGAGGAAAATGGTGCACAGAAAGCGTGGGATAAAGCAGTCGCAGAAGGCGCAGATGGAAAAGTAATTTTCCAGGAGAAAGAGTTGACAGGAAAGGTGAGCCAGTAAATAGGAATTCAGAAGGCCTCTGCTTATAATAGGTTGGCACGCTCTCGTGCTGGTCGCTGTTAACTGAAAATTCTCTAAAAACTTTTTCCAAGTCGATTTGCCTGTTGCGAGATGGGATTAAATGGGCTGCTTGTTGAATCAGTTACTTTTTAATATCCTGAAAGTTTTTCTGGGGATAGCCGGCCATATATGTACCCAACAGAAGTATCCCAAAACAAGAAATTGTATCAAAAATCGAGCGAGGTGGAATAATCTTTAAATCTCTAATATCTTCATTTTCTTTCTTTTTATTATACTTTCATGTCTGACTGCATGTTGTTTTTAGGTTCTTGAAGGAGAGGATGAAGAAAAATACTGGAGCGCGTTCAATGCTAGCAAGCAGAACAAGATGGATAGAGCAAGCGGGCGACGAGGAGGTCGAGGAGGACGTGGACGGTGAATTCATTTTATTTTGTTGAAATTTCCATGAATATTTATTTATTTATTTATTTAGTGCACGCATAGGCGCGCTTTTACCATACTAAGGCTGTACACAGTGCCCCAGTAGCGCTCTGAAATTAACTTCAGTGGCGGATGACGCTAGGGGAACAATCAGTTAATACATACTGTATGCTGTTTTTCTTCAGAGGCGGGCATGGTGGACCTCGTGGACAGAAGCGCCAAGCTGAAGAAGGTGATGCTCCAAAAAGCAAGAAAATCATCTTCGATGATGACGGTAAACCCAGTGGTGATGCACCTTCCGAAGCGAAAACTGCTGAAGCCTAAACAGATGTTCTCATTTTCTCGTTGAATCTGTATATTGTTTCTTCTTGTCCCTATTGGTTGGCATATGATCTATTTCCGTGAACCTTAGTATGTATGTGTTTGATTCCGTTCAAGTAAGTTGCTTAATAGAGGCGCATAGCTGTATTCTATCATTATCTCCGTCGAATGTTGTTACTTCATTGCTATCACAGTAGGTGAAAACTGTCTTGTTGTGAATTGTAGGGAGAGTCGTTGATCAAATGTTGTTTATTTCATACTGAAATATTGTTCCAGTTCACGTTTCGGTATCAAAGTGTATGTCATTGTTGAATGTGAAGTTGGTAGATTGGAATTGTTGATTTTTGTTAATTACCGAATGAAGAATGATGTAAAGCTGTTGGGTTCTGTTCCTTTTGGGAGAACAGGATATCATGAACACTTTCAGTGGAGGCAATTCGTGTGTAACGGGACTCAGCTTACGTTGTGGGCCGGTGGATGCGACAATTGCAAGTGCCCTTATAGAAATGATCGGCGCGCTGGCGAAGGTTTTGCTATCGCTGCAAGGGCATTTCGCTGCTATTTTTCATGTAGGACAGTTTGTTGTACCTCATGTGAAAGTATGCTGTCCAGAAAGCACTGTGACGGTAAAATTAGGTTATTCTATTATCTGACTGCAGAGCGACAGCTAATTTCAGTTAACCAACAATGTATGGGTCATTACGGGAAAGTCTGGTAGTTCGACGTTCCGACGACGTATAGGAAATCAAGTCCTGATGTCGCAGTAGGAAAGACGCGATAATTGAAAGAGGATGCGAAAGGCTGCAGAGATTGGTAAGAAGTAGCGTCAAACTCTTCTTACGACTGAGCAGACACCAACAGGGGCGCTTTGCCCTGCGGTTGGCAGATCTCAAGAATATGCGTCGTCCCTGTGAAACAGGACTCCACGTGAACCGATCATGGGAGTAGAGAATGGACACGAAGGAGGAGGTATGGAAGTAACTAAATATGAACCCACAATCCCCTCGCTTATGCTTTGGAGTCCGAAAAGGATGAGTTCTACCAAATGATCCTGGACAGAAGCAGAGATCGTTCCGAGAGGACTATCTCATCCATAGCGGAGAATCTGAAATAATGCATGTGGTAAGGGACAGAAAGGGTTTAAGGAAAAGGTGGCATGGAGTCAAGATTAGGGACAAAGAACGTAGAGGAGAGGAGATATCCTTAGACCGAAGAACAGCCACACTTGCAATCTGCAAGTTCTTCTCAGCCTGAAAAGAGGGACCCAAAAAGGTTAACCTACAGCAAGTGGATATAACAAACCGGAAGATCGCCAATGTCTGGTACAGAATGATCGATCATCTTACAACATCAAGGATACCAAGGTATGCGCGGAGAGGTGGGCCTCGAGCACAAGGCCTCTCCTGCAAACTATGCTCATATACCTCCCAAGAAGACAAGAGTGATGCAGCGAAGTTGGAGAATTCGGTGGAGAAATATGGCAGGGTAGAAAAGGATAGCCTCGGCGACGAAGTATATACTGGGAGGCTGGGCTCCCGACAGGACCAGTTACAGAACCGGACCTATCGATTGCCAGGAGCGGTTATCATGGTTCATACGATACGTTGTACAAGTGGAGGTCCTTAGGAGAAAAGCCGATGGATTCTTTTAGCGATATGCAGAAGGGTAATGCCAGCCTGTTTCCTGGAAGAGGAGTGTTCAGGAGGAATCGTCACTAGAATCAAGGGAAGATACAAACTGTGGCAAAGACACGGAGCCAGTAAAGTATCGCTGTTACAGGTAGAAGCAAGGAATCGATATGCCGTTGCTAAGGCCAAGAATACGGAAATGGACGCCCTGTACAAGCTGGAAGGCCGAGAAGGGGACAAGTTCGTCTTCCGCCTGGCTAAAGCTCGGCATCGCGCTGCTCAGGACATCAGGGTCGTAAAGACTGTGAAGAGCAGCAACGGGGCCATTCTCAGGAAACCAGCCGAAGTCAGGAAGAGGTGGGAAGAATACTTCGAGGGACTTCTGAACGAAGAATTCCCTCGCAAGGATAGCCCACAGATAGAGGCGACGGCAGGCCTCAGCCCGTTCCTCTTCCTCCTGACTCTAGATGTCATGGCAAAAGAACTCATGGAGGGACCACTGAAAACCATCCTCTACGCTGACGACATCGCCCTGATAGCGGACAGCAGGGAGGAACTCCAGGACAAGGTGCAGCGGTGGCAGGATGTGCTCGCTGAGAATGGACTCCGGCTGAACGTAAAGAAGACCAAGTTCCTAAGCTCCGAAGAGTGCACCGAACTCATCGTAGACCGCCATGGCGAGAGCATCGAAAGGGTCGAGGATTTCCAGTACCTGGGGAGCAACCTAGCAGCTGATGGCAGTGAAGGCCCGAATCAACGCAGCCTGGATGAAATGGAGGGAGTCCACTGGCATCCTGTGCGACCGGCGGTGCTCGAGAACGCTCAAGGGCAAGGTGTACCGGGCTGTGGTAAGGCCTACAATGCTCTACGGCAGTGAGTGCTGGCCTATCTGCAAGAACCATGAAAGGCAGCTCCACTCAGCTGAAATGAGGAGCTGAAATGAGGATGCTGAGATGGGCCTGCGGCTGGACACGACTCGACAGAGTCAGAAACGAGGACGTCAGAGCAGTCACACAGACGGCTCCTATCCAGCTGAAGGCACGAGAGCAGCGACTGCGATGGTACGGTCATGTACTGAGGAGGCCTGAAGACCACCCAATAAGGAAGGCATTGGAACTCGTAGAGGGCAAGCGACCACGAGGAGCCCCAAAGAAAAGATGGAGGGACGTCATCAAGAGGGACCTCAAAAGCCACAGCAGAAGATGCAGTGGATCGGAACAAGTGGCGACGTCTAACAAGAACAGCGGACCCTGCGACGGCGCGGGACTAACGCTAGGGAGAAGAAGAAAGAATGACATGGTTGGTTATCGCGAGCGTACAGCCCATTGCAAGCACACGGTAGACGCAGATTGCTGTGCGCGACGCCGCGTGATACTAAAGACCACCTCTTTCGGGCTGCAGAGCGTTCCTTCCAAGCAGGCAGAGATCCAGAGTGTTTTCTAGTTGACAAGATTACGCAAGGATAGAAAAGGAAGCACAATCAAGGGATGTGGAGTATACGTTTATTATCGACGCCCAGTGATGATGGTGGATCAACATTAGTCGACGCTATTGTCATCTTGAACTCTGACGCTGATATTCCGCCTCACCCTAAAAACCATCTTAGGTCATCTTTTGGCCGCTGAAACAGATGAACTTGGGCAAAAGAATAGCTTACTTGAGAAACGTCTAGAGTCTGATATAGCTAACCAGGAAAGGTCAACAGGTCAGCCTGGCCATTTGCAATGAGATGCACATCATTGTACTCATCTTGACACGGTGAACTCAGAACTATCTTCAAAATTTGCGGAACGATTCTCTGAGTGGAGTTATGAAGGTTTTTCTATTGTTTTTCTTCTTACGGTCGCGCTGGCGTCGAAGCGTTGAGGCACTATTTACCCTTTACTGCCCCAGTCATCCGAAATCAGGCCAGTTCCTGACCGACTTTTTTCTCCGTGGGCAGATTTTGCTCAAATGTTGTCTCCTGGGGTAGTTTGACCTCCAGAATACGAATATCACATTCGCTCAGCCCGAAACTTCCTGGCGCCCGCGCCACAGGCGCCAATGATTTGGGGTATTTTGGCGCCGGCGCCTGGTGCGGGCGCCAGGAGGTTTCGGGTCAAGCGGATGCGATATTCGTGTTCAGCGGGTCGAACTACCCCTGGAGCCAAGTTTTCAGCAAATTCTGCCCACGGAGAAAAAAGTCGGTCAGGAACTGGCCTGATTTCGGATGGCTGGGGCAGTAAAGGGTAAATAGTGCCAGTAACCCCTAGGGACGGCACCTTAGCAAAATCTGAGCTTCTGACTCAACTTCGAAAAATGGGGTATGGATAGTCATGGCTGACTGATAGCTAACAGCGATACTATGACTAGCATACTGGTGATGACTGGTCTTCGAACTGAAATAACTCTTCAGTCATGTCTTCAGTACCTGGCTTACTTATTTGTGCCGTCTGCATCATTTTCTTGACTATCGGGAGGAAATCCCATTCCGAGACCAGTCATCGATGGTAGGTGAGCTCCAATCTGCTGCTAATTACCCATGGAATAGCCCACATTTTCCAAGTGAGGTCGAAATATCAGATTCGGCTAGAAACTTGTCCCCAGGGGTAATTTAACCCGCTGAACATGAATATGATGGTATTTCATTGCAAAAACCCTTGTGACACGTGTTACGAGGGGTACAAGCAGAAGCACTCTTTCAGGCCACAATGGGTCTACACTTTCAAAAAAACTGATCGCAGGTTCCCTTATAGGGTAGTGCAGGCGAGCAGAGATGTTAGAAGCTTTGTCGGCTATGTTCTTGGACAAATGCAAAAAAGGACCTGCCCCGGAACCGATCCTACGACGTCTCGCCTAAGAAACCGCTCCCTACCCGTTGCGCTCTACTACCACGTTTCAGAACGACTCCATACATAAATGTAAAGACGCTTCCACGTTTCCTCGCGATAGCATGTGAAACGACCATGCGGGGATAAAACCCTCCATAACTCCGTTCAGAGAATCGTTCCGCAAATTCTGAAGGTAGATTCGAGTTCACCGCTCTAAGACGCGTATAACTGTGTGCAGCGCATCAATGGCCTGTTGACCTTTCCTGGTAAGAACTCTCGTCTTAAGATGGAAATCAGTTCTCTCAAGGAAGCCTTGGCCAAAAGTAACGAGGCATGCTCGGGAGAGCTGATTTTGTCTAATACCTCTAGTTACAAAAAGAAGCATGATTGTTGCAAACCTCTGAGATGAATAGGCTATTGTTATTCATGGCACCGCGGAGTTTGACAGTTCAGATTGTACCCAACGAATTTCACATCTGTTCGATTGTATCAAGAAGATTTTCCACTTCCTTGATATAGAATGTGCTCCAGTCACATTTTATAGAATGGGAAAGCTCACCTCTCG